AGGTAGTTAGGTTGGTAGGTAGGTAGGTAGAGGGATAGAGAGAGAGAAAGAGAGAGAGAAATACAGTAGATAGGTAGGGAGAGAGAGAGAGAGTAGGTAGGTTGGTAGGTAGAGGGATAGAAAGAGAGAAATAGAGAGAGAGGGAGAGAAATACAGTAGATAGGTAGGGAGAGAGAGAGAGTAGATAGTTGGTAGGTAGAGGGATAGAGAGAAAGAGAGAGAGAGAAAGAAATACAAAAGGTGGGGACAGAGAGAGTAGGTAGGTAGGTAGATGTTTCCAGGTATATTTATCCATGTGCTGGAGAAGGAAATCGCTGACAATTTGCAGCACCTAAGACTTTGTTTCTGCTGGCACAGCATTTGATCAGTGTAATTCTCATCAATCAGTTAAAGAGCTTTCCAAAAGGGGGGGGGGGAGGTTGTGCACTCTGCAAACCTCCCAAAATTGGCCCGTTTTTTGCTAAAACGGGCCCGGGTTTTTTTTTCATAAAAAAGGCATGAATAGCCTGGGGGAGGGGGGCTTGCAGAGTGCTCCTGGGGGTGCGGGGAACCAAAAATGAGCAAAAAAGGCCCATTTTTCGCAAAATATTAGTCAAAATATTTGTCAAAAATTTGCATGAATAGCCTTATGGAGGCTTATAGAGTGTTGCTGGGGGCTAGGGGGGGGGGCAAAAAATGGCCCGTTTCTTGCTCATTTCTGCCCTCCCCAGCCCCCGGGAGCCCTCTGAAAGCCTCCTTAAGGGTATGCACATTCATTTTGGTGAAGGGGCGGGGCTTCAGGAGGCAAAAAATGCTATATTTGGTGTATAAGACATACCCAGATTTTCGGCCTCTTTTTTGAGGCAAAAAGGTGTGCCATACTCCGAAAAATCCGGTAGGCGCTTACAGATGTGGAAATGGTTAAGGAGACAGATGGAAGGAAGGACATGCTTCCTCTTGTCCAAGTGACTGGAAATTCAATCCATAGATTTGCTTCCTTGCTTAAAATTAAATGGAGTGGGGAATAAAATCTACTCATTGCTTAAGGCAGANGCCCTGAGTCCCCTCAGGGAAAAGGGCGGCCTATAAATTTTAATAAATGATAAATGAAATGAACAGTAATTGGAACTGGAATTTTCATCACTAAGCAATGCAACTGTAAACTGTAACATTACATAACTGCATCACTTAGTGGTAGCAATCCCAACAGGCCCTGTTCTTCTTGTTAATCGTGGATTGTGCGCAGGGGTGAAATTCAGAAGCTTCTGACAGGTTCTGGAGAACCAGTAGCGAAAATTTTGAGTAGTTGGAAAACCGGAAAATCCCACCTCTGGCTGGCCCCAGAGTGGGGTGGGAATGGAGATTTTGCAGTATCCTTCCCCAGCCATGCCCACAGAACCAGTAGTAAAAAAAATTGAATTTCACCACTATATGTGGATCATTAAGTGAGCACCTCCTCACAACTTCCTGCTAACTTTCCACAAGTAAAGTCAATGGGAGAGCTGGCAGGAAGTTTCAAATCCTAGGGGGTGCTGGGTGAAGGAGGGTGTGCAGGCTCGGGAGGGAGGGATTGCCATATGCAGGGGTACCTGCTGTGGGTATATGCATGTTCTACAGATCCTGGACCTCATAAACCATAGCCATATTACTCAAGAGAAAAAGTCATGTTGGTGCGAGCGATTTAGAGCAGGGATCTCCAACATTGGCAACTGTAAGCCTGGCGAACGTCAACTCCCAGCAAAGCTGGCTGGGGAATTCTGGGAGTTGAAGTCCTCCAGGCTTAAAATTGCCAAGGTTGGAAATCCTTGATTTAGAAGATCAACTTGCAACCTTCCCTGCTGGCTTCCCTGTTGACTTTGATTGTGGAAAGCCAGTAGGTAAGGTTGTAAATGGCAATCAGATGACTGGGATACTACAGTTGTCATAAATGCAAGCCAATTGCCAAGCACCCAGATTGTGATGGGTGGAAGACCAGTTGTAAGTACCACTCATTCAGTACCATCATAACTTTGGACAGTCAGTAAATGAGTGGTTGTTAATAAAGACCCATGGTCCCAAAACCATTCCCTTTAATTATATTCTCTAAATGGAAGTTTTTGTTCAAAAGCTAGGTGGAGTTTTCTTTTTCCATCAATTGGGTTGTTATCATCTGGATTGTTTTCGCTAACATCATATTTTTATTCACAATTGTTATATTGCATGTAAAATGCCAGGAAGGTTTCAAAGACAGGATTGCCAATTAACTCGATCAATACGAGTTACGCCATCATATGATTTTGATCAGTTACAAAATGTTAGCCTTTACACTTTGTACTTCTACCCTGTCTCATAGCAGGAGTTTAAAGAATAGCCAGTGAGGAGCAGAGAGAGACACCAGGAAGAGATGCAAACAGGGCCTTATACTGTATTTTTCAGAGTATAAGAGGCACCGGAGTATAAGACACACCAAGGTTTTGAATAGGCAAATTTTTTTTAAAAGTAGGTAGGTAGATAGGGGGATAGAGAGGGAGAGAAAGAGAGAGAAATATAGTAGGGAGGGAAGGAGAGAGAGAGAGTAGTTAGGTAGCTAGGTAGATAAAGGGATAGAGAGAGAGAGAGAAAGAGAAAGAGAGAGAAATTTGGTAGGTAAGTAGGGAGGGAGTGTGTGTAGGTAGGTAGTTAGGTTGGTAGGTAGGTAGGTAGAGGGATAGAGAGAGAGAAAGAGAGAGAGAAATACAGTAGATAGGTAGGGAGAGAGAGAGAGAGTAGGTAGGTTGGTAGGTAGAGGGATAGAAAGAGAGAAATAGAGAGAGAGGGAGAGAAATACAGTAGATAGGTAGGGAGAGAGAGAGAGTAGATAGTTGGTAGGTAGAGGGATAGAGAGAAAGAGAGAGAGAGAAAGAAATACAAAAGGTGGGGACAGAGAGAGTAGGTAGGTAGGTAGATGTTTCCAGGTATATTTATCCATGTGCTGGAGAAGGAAATCGCTGACAATTTGCAGCACCTAAGACTTTGTTTCTGCTGGCACAGCATTTGATCAGTGTAATTCTCATCAATCAGTTAAAGAGCTTTCCAAAAGGGGGGGGGGGAGGTTGTGCACTCTGCAAACCTCCCAAAATTGGCCCGTTTTTTGCTAAAACGGGCCCGGGTTTTTTTTTCATAAAAAAGGCATGAATAGCCTGGGGGAGGGGGGCTTGCAGAGTGCTCCTGGGGGTGCGGGGAACCAAAAATGAGCAAAAAAGGCCCATTTTTCGCAAAATATTAGTCAAAATATTTGTCAAAAATTTGCATGAATAGCCTTATGGAGGCTTATAGAGTGTTGCTGGGGGCTAGGGGGGGGGGCAAAAAATGGCCCGTTTCTTGCTCATTTCTGCCCTCCCCAGCCCCCGGGAGCCCTCTGAAAGCCTCCTTAAGGGTATGCACATTCATTTTGGTGAAGGGGCGGGGCTTCAGGAGGCAAAAAATGCTATATTTGGTGTATAAGACATACCCAGATTTTCGGCCTCTTTTTTGAGGCAAAAAGGTGTGCCATACTCCGAAAAATCCGGTAGGCGCTTACAGATGTGGAAATGGTTAAGGAGACAGATGGAAGGAAGGACATGCTTCCTCTTGTCCAAGTGACTGGAAATTCAATCCATAGATTTGCTTCCTTGCTTAAAATTAAATGGAGTGGGGAATAAAATCTACTCATTGCTTAAGGCAGAGATATCTCCATACATCAATCCGGGGGAAGAGTAAAATTGTCTGGCAATCTCGTCAAAGTAGTCTCCTGTCATACAGTGTATTTGGGCCTACATTTGTCACCCCAGAGCTATAGCATGAGGAGAAACAAATCCCCCCAAACTCTGAAGACACAAAGAGTAGCTAGGTTTCCATGAATGAAGCAATTTGGATTAAGTGAATTATGGTAAGGTTCTGTAGGCTTCCTGAAGTTGCTGAACCACAAATCCCAGAATCCTCCTCTACCAACCATTTATCATGGAGTCGCTAGGTGTTATTATTGGACAACATTTGAGAGTAAAGGTTTTCCACCCTAATGTGGTTTTGATTTTCTCCTCAACTGTGCTTGAACAAATCAACAGGAAACTCAGATGTGTCATCCAGATGGGAAATTACTAATGTTTTGAGTTAATTCAGCAGCCAGGGCTTTGAATAAGTTGGTTGTTTTATAATTTATAATTTGGCCAATGTGATCCAGGCCAAATGAAAGCAATTATAATTTAGTCATTGGGTGTAATGATTGATGCCAGAAAAAAGCTCATTTTGTCAATATCTGGGAATATTGAAGATTCCATGTGAATTGTTACAAAGGGACAGATTTGTACAGCAACCATTTTTAGAAATGGTTTAACGTCCTGTGTTTTTTAGTGAGCCAGATGTATCTCCTAGTTTCCCCTCATTTTCCATCAGAACATCTCTTGTAATAATAATAAACTGCCACCTGTGTTGCCTGGTTGAATTGCAGTGTTTTGAACATGCAGTGTGCTTTGTAACCTTGGGAGAGAGCTGGGACCATTCCCTGTCTGGGGTTTCTCCACAAAGAGCAGGTTTTCTGCAAATTGAATTGGGGGTGGGGGAGGTGAGGATCAGAGGGGAAAAAGCAGAAAAGTGACAAAAAGTGCAGGTGTACAATGTAAATTAGAACAAACTGTAGATGGAAGATGGAAAAAAGGTGCGTCTTATACTCTGAAAAATCCGGTAGGCACTTACAGATGTGGAAATGGTCAAGGAGACAGATGGAAGGAAGGACATGTTTCCTTTTGTCCAAGTGACTGGAAATTCAATCCATAGATTTGCTTCCTTGCTTAAAATTAAATGGAGTGGGGAATAAAATCTACTCATTGCTTAAGGCAGAGATATCTCCATACATCAGATATCTCCATACAATGTAAATTAGAACAAACTGTAGATGTAATGCTTTTTTCAGCAGGGTTAGGTAAATTCTAAGCTTAAATTTCTGTATCAGCACTGAGCTGTTCTAAATTGCCTTTCTTCTTACATCAGTACAATTTGTGCTAATTTATTTCTCCGAATTTCTAATTTCAAAAGCCAGGCCTCTTCTCTTTGCTTTACATGTAATAACCTAAGGAAGAATCTTTATGTGGACTCAATGGTTACGTTCTCTGCCGGTGATGAATTGTCAGTTTACATGTCTTTGACTGAGAGAGGGTAATCTGGGATTTTTTTTTCACCACACCACCTCAGTGGACTTTATTCATGGTGACCACTCACTTTTGTATTCTGGGTACATCATTTAGCATGCATTTGTCGTCTTAAATAATTGCTGCCTAATGGAAGTAATTTTTACTTCCTAATGGAATTAATTTTCTTCTCCTTTTCATACATCCCCAATTACAAAATAGGCAGGAATGAGCCATAAACATGGCCATTTTTGCTCCTTTCTGTAAATGTCCTCACAACATAGCACACATTAGCCCTACCTTTCTACTAGCATTTGTTTGTCTTGAAACGCTTCCACTCATTTTTCTACCTTTAGTACATATTTTGTCAAGATATGCAAATTCATAATTTTTGCCATACACCTTGCAATTGCTCATCAATTTTTCCCTGTCAAACACAACTACTTTGATTGTATGTTAATACGTCAATTTTTAGATCCATGCTCTTCATTGCCTCATCCAACCTATCCAACATTCACCACAATTCATACAGGTTCTCAGTCGAGAACACGGAATCTTCTGCCTGTAAATGCACACAGTCACATTGCCAGTCAACCCAGCTCTAACTTCACCACAAGTATTCCTTTTTTAAAAAAATAAAAACCCCACAATTTCATTAAATTTCAAAAATAAAAAAGTTAAAATACAAAATTGCAACACAGAGTGGGTGGAGGAGGACAACCGGAAAAGTTTAAAAAGTGACATACAAACACACACCAAAAATAACATAGGAAAAGAAAGGGAGTGAGGGAGTGAGAGAAAGGAAATGAAAATCAGTGTCAGACCTGCCTCAGCTTGAACCTCTAAGTAAGAACGAACCTTAACTCCATTTGTTGAGAAAGATATAGTTTACATGAAGTCAAGTGATCCAGTAATGGATCGCCAGAACTCCTCATATCTAATTTTCCCCTCTCTTAGTTGCCTCCCATCACTGGCCTCCATACATTTCCGCTCCAAGCTGCTTGGCCTGGAAGCCCATCTTAGAGAATTACAGTGAAGTTTTGTTTCGCTAGAAGCATCCCCCTTCGTAAGCACACACACACAAACCCTCTTGAGTTCATGGCTGCTGATACTGAATGGTTACGTTGTGAGGGGGCAGTCTTTTTTCAGGTTATTCTGTTCAGCATCACTCACACAGTGGTAAACTCTGCCTCCTGGAAAACCCCTTGTTTCCCAATACTTTTTAAATTTTCAGACATCCCAAGACCAAAGAAACGCCTGATGGAGCTGATGACCAAGACAGCTTTGGAAGAACCACCTGAGGAAGTGGGTGGCCGCTGGGCTTCAGCATCCAGAGAGTGGAGATTGAAGTTTCTGCGCAGTCCAGTGGAAGTGTTACCCACCATGGATGGCAAAAGAGCAAGAGCGATCCAGTTAGCTGTCAACAGGTTGGAAGTACGATCTCAAACATTTTCTGGGCCTTCAGCCCTCTTAACTTTTGCCTTGTCCTTAATTTATCCCTTTAAGGTTGGCAACAACCTTCACACTGACATCTTTTTAGCAATAAATTAAATATAGTTTTATTTTCCCACTCTAATTAGAAGTATCAGGGTAACTGCCTGCACTCTGCATAAAAGGGAGGCTCTCCGGAAGCCACTATATGTGTCTCCAAGGATTCATGTTCTGTGTAGCATTGTGGGAATAACTCTTTCTGTTTGTTTTGCATTTATAGGAGGGTGTCCTGATAATAAAGCTCCCAACATCTAGGAGGAGAATTAGCTAAGAACTGATTTGCAACTATTTTTTGTTAGACTCCATAGCATCTTAAGGTGGGCTCCCATTCCATTCACTGTTGTGGCCTGCCAGCGGCCAGAGCTGGCAGCAGATTCAGACAGTGAGGAGGTTGGGAAGGAACATGGGCCGGTCCTGGAGTCTGGGGAGGGCTCTAATGAGGGCTCTGTGTCAGAGGGGGCGGGGGGGGGGCAGAGCAGCATGCCAGTCATCAGCTGCCTTCAGAGTCCAGACATCAGTGAGGCAGACAAACAGCTGGAGCCTGTTCCCAGTGTGCATATGCCCAGAGTTGCCAGACGAAGGAACAGGCTAAAGAACAGGGGTCGACTTGGGAGTAAGGCCACAAGTGGACGATGAATGGCCGCTCCCAGAGGAAACAAAAGAGGAACAAAAGGGGAGGGGAGTTTGCAGGAGACAATTAGTTTGCTAAATTGGTAGTGACTCTCCTTAGACTCCTTGCTAAGTTTTGCAGATATCAGCCTGTCAGCTCTCCAAGCCAGATAAGGTCTGTGACTGTAAATCCTTCCTTGAAAGACTTTGCTGTATGTGAATGAGCAGAATTCATAGTAAATTAATAAAAGGAGTTTTTGTCAGGACAAGGAGTTTGCTTCATGGGCCCGGGAAGCCTGGGTCAGAACATTCACACTTCCTTGAATGCTATTTAAACAAGGGAATTACCTGATCGTGGTTTATAGGATGGTCACCCTAACATTGTCCTTCTCCGTTTTCCCCCCATTTCTGGGCTGTTCAGGGAGCAGGAGATGCCATGAAAGCAGTTCCCACTGGAGAAATTGAGGAATTAAGGTCTGGCCTGATTTTTAGCAGCATTGGATACAAAAGCCTTCCAATAGATCCTGCAGTGCCCTTTGACAGCAAGCGAGGTGTTATTCCCAACAATTCAGGCAGAGTTCTTGGGGCACCAGGTGAGTAGAACTCGTGCTGTGCCAGGTAGTAGAAATTGGTGTGATAAAGACAATGGGGAATCAGAGAGTTCGGCTACAAGGCTGAACGATGAATGGCCAGCGTGTATTATTGGGACTCAGATACACACCTATGCTATCCACTAAAGAAGAAGAAGAATTTAGTCTTTCCAGACCTCATCTTGTATACAGGTAGTGCAAGTATAATTGAATGATCTTCTCCCTGGCATTAGCAGGAGACTTTGAATGAATGTACCACAAGAAGTTACCTGACCATTGTTTGGATCTGTTCAAAATAAAGCACTGGGTCTCAATTGCCTGGTTGGTCGTTATGTTTTCCAGGGCTCTATTGCAGTGGCTGGGTAAAGAGGGGACCCACAGGTGTAATCATCACAACTATGAATGACAGCTTTGACACAGCCCAGTCTGTGCTAGAAGATCTGCAGTCCGGTGTCTTGCAGCTCTCCAGTGGCAAGGAAGGCTTTGATTTAGTGAGCCACATCCTTCAATCCCGAGGTGTGTATGCAACATATTTTGCAATTACCTCTTAGTCTCACTAATATCCTGCTTTCCAATCTTTTTCTTACGTATTTATTCAATTTTTATCTTCAAAGATAAAATACAAAACAAAGAGAAAGAGAAAACAAACTAACAAACATCTGACACCACCAACAACAAAAAATGTGTAGAAAAAAATATGGATATTGAATACATCATTGATAACTAATATTAAACATAAAAAATCCACCCCCCTGAATGCTGACAAAATACAACAAAAAACTGATGTATTCTCCTCCCCTCACATAACAGGCTGCAAAGAGTTATAAACTTTCCCATCTATACTTTTTTTAAAAAAAAATTACATAAACAGATGTCCCTTATATGGAAAACTAATAGTCTAGTAATTGAATCAATCCAATGTCTGTTCACTATATGCATGTAAAAAAAAACACCAGTCAACAGGTAAAAAGTAAAACTAATCTTCAAAATCCCTCTGTTAACCATTTGTTATTGTATATAACATGTAGAAAGTCCACAAATCTTTCACTCTCTTATAAATGTGTCGAACTCATTGTTTCTAATCAAAGCATCTAATTTTGCCTTCTCTGCCAATTCAGTTAATTTTAAAATCCACACTTCAACAGCCGGCATCCCCTTTTCCTTCCAATGCTTAGCATAAACAATCCCGTTTTCCAATCTTGTCAACTTTAAGGTGTGTGGATGTCAACTCCCAGAATCCCCCAGCCAAGGTTGGGAAACCTTGTTCTAATGCACAGTTGAAGAATCTGTGGCCAGCAGAATGCTACTAAAATAAACCATTAAGTGATGGTGGTGTTAGTTGCGAAGTCATGTCCAACCCATTGTGACCCCATGGACAATGTTCTTCCAGGCCTTCCTGTCCTCTACCATTTAAGCTCATGCTGACTGCTTCGGTGACTCCATCCAGCCACCTCATTCTCTGTCGTCCCCTTCTTCTTTTGCCCTCAATCTTTCCCAGCATCAGGCTCTTCTCCAGTGAGTCCTTCCTTCTCATTAGGTGTCCAAAGTATTTCATCTTCAGGATCTGGTCTTCTAAAGAGGAGCCAGGGTTGACCACCTCTAGGGCTGACCGGTTTGATTGCCTTGCAGTCCAAAGGATTTGCAGGAGTCTTCTCCAGCACCAAAGTNTGATTCAGGAGCAAGGTCAAAATCGATATTCAGTTGAAACTTTGAGAATGAATTTGGAAACTGTGTTGAAAAATCTGGAAAATCGAACGGAACTGTTTGAAGATTTGTTGTGTTCTTATCCACCTCGTTTGAATGCTGTTCGAAGGGCTAATGGTGGTCATACTGACTATTAAATCGTGTCAATAAACTCAGTTTTTGATGCGCTTTCGAATGGTGTATGAATTATTTGTGTTGTTATTACAAGTGTTGCTGTGACCCCCTAGGAAAAGGTTATGCCCCGCCCTGTACTGAGGCAGCCCTAACAATTGGCACCAAGGCTTATGCAAGCAGTTTTCCCTTGCGTGTGAGCCAAGTGTCTGTGTATGTACAGCCTGTGCAGAGGCAGGTGGAGATGACTATATTGAGCAGCTTGTTAAACAAAAGATGTGGCTGCATTAATAACTCAAAGACAGGTGTATTCTTCTTGCTCCCATGTGTTGCAAAGTACCTCCTCTGGAGGCTTAGCAGAGATAGACACAATTTTGCAATATGGAAATGAAATCTCTGGCACAATCCGCATAGCATGCTCTAACAACCTCTGCAGTTTTAAAGGCATACGGTTTTTGGAAAAAAAAATTTCCATCTCTGTTTTTCATCTAGATCTTACATAATGCACCCAGAGTCCCTTGTGATTGAAAATACTGTATTTTTCGGAGTATAAGACGGACCGGAGTATAAGGCGCAGCAAGGTTTTGAAGAGGAAAATTTTAAAAAAAGTTTTTGCACCCCCCCTCCCAAAAGGCATGAATAGCCTTTAGGGAGCTTGCAGAGTGCTCCCGGGGAGTGGCAAAAACAAGCAAAAACAGCCAGTTTTTCGTTAAAAAAAGGGCATGGATAGCCTGTAGGAAGCTTGTAGGGTGCTCCTGGGAGCTAGGGGTGGTGGTGATAGAATTGAGCAAAAACCAGGCCATTTTTTACTCATTTCTGCCTTCCCCAGTCCGCAGAGGAGCTCTCTAAAAGCTTCCTAGAGGCTATGCACGGCCATTTTGGTGAAGGGGGCGGGGTTTCGGGAGGCAAAAAATGCTGTATTCAGTGTATAGGACACACCTAGATTTTCAGCCTCTTTTTTGAGGGTAAAAGGCGCGTCTTAAACTCCGAAAAATACGGTACCTCCTGTGATAGGAACAATTAAATGGTTAAACAAGTGAAAGGAAAAGGGAAATGCTTATAGATGCCAAGGCTGCGATCTGCATCAGGAGAGTTAAAGCACAACTTTCCAGAAGGACAGCCCACTGCAAAAGATGATGGAGTTCCTGCATCCTGTAGCTGCAGATCAGTGTGGCTTGTTCCTCTCCTGGCAAAAAAAAAAATCAAGATGTAGGACGTAAGAGCAGCAAGCTGTTAATAGCATGAATGAGCCCAATGTCTACCTTTGTTGCTCTTGCCTTTATTGCACTCACACACACGCCAAAAGACCCTCAAACCTAGCCTAATGCTTTCCCACTTTTGCTGTGGCCAAAGATGCTCCCCACTCTGCTTCCTGCAGTGCAGAGGCCATCCTCCTGAACCCCTCCAAAAATTGTCCCGTTCATTGTCTTATACCATCTTGGCTCAGCCCTGTCAGTTAAAAAGCCAAGAACGGTGAACACTATTGTAACTCCTCTACCCATTTGCAGTATCTGTAATATACAACCAACATAATAGGTAACGGTAAAGATTCCCCTTGCATATACGTGCTAGTCGTTCCCGACTCTAGGGGACGGTGCTCATCTCTGTTTCAACGCCAAAGAGCCAGCACTGTCTGAAGATGTCTCCGTGGTCATGTGACTGGAGGCACACAGATCACTGTTACTTTCCCACCAAAGATGGTTCCTATTTTTCTTCTTGCATTTTTACATGCTTTTGAACTGGTAGGTTGGCAGAAGCTGGGACAAGTAATGTGAGCTCACTCAGTTACGCGGCACTAGGTATTCAAACCACCGAACTGCCAACCTTTTTGATTGACAAGCTCAGCGTCTTAGCCACTGAGCCACCACATCCCAACCAACATAATAGTGGCATATAAAAATCTCAGAGTTTTGCAATCAGCAGACTGACCTTGAATTGAGGAAACATAATAAATGGCCTTTCAGTGCTCTGGCAACACTCGTGGGGATTTTCAGCTATACAGGAAACCATTCCTGACCTTTATTCTGCCACAGTTATATATTCTTTGGAGGGGAAAAGCTGTCTCAGAAAATAGGGCATATAATATGTGTTTGAGCTGCTGATTTGCGTGCTGTAAAGCTTATTTCCCTTCTTGCAGAGTTATGGCGCAGAGGACAATCGGACACTTGGAATTCCTGGGGAGGACCTTGAAGGCGTCTACACGGCGAGAGCATTTGTAGGATGGTACAATGGCTTGCCGGAGAACAGAAATGTAAGAATGTTAGTGTCGTCCCTCTTCCATCTCTTAAAGGTTGCCACCTGCTCAAGCATCCATGGGAGGGACCTGCAGTTGGAAAAGAACACATAGATACCAAATTAAATCCAGAATGGTTGATGACTGTGAACCTGTTTGCATGTCTTCAAGAAGGTATTATCCCTCTCTTTCATGTGAAATGAGAAGGCCAGAAGAGAAGCTCTGGGGTTAGAGAAAAAAATAGAGATGCTTGTAGGAATGTTTGCCATCAGGTGTGGAACATGGGCACTGCAGCTTTTACAGTGGACATGATTATGCTTTTGCCAAGCAACTTCATTTGTGAATAGTTGTCAATGTAACAATAATGGAAGCTGCTGAGCAGTTTTGGCCCTTCAGTGCTCTTCAAATAAGTAGTATTGGCATAATAAACTCAGAAATGTCTGGGAAGGGGTATTTCCTTATTAAACAGCGCAGCCCACATACTTTTCTCTAGGAAGACGTGATAAATATGAAGGGAAAATAGCCTTGTTCTTGTAACTTTTCCTTGTTTTGCAATGCTCTTTCCTGCAAGATTAATTTTGAAAGTAGAAATATTTTCCCGTATGTTCCGTGTGATTGCACAGAATCTGTAGCATGGTGCATCTTAAAGGATATGGAAGAGCTTTCAGCATTTCAAGCCAGTCGTGAAATTATAAGGAAAAAATTCTGGTGGCTTGTTGCCTTGGATGAAAACTGGGAATGAGCAACTGATTTTCAGGCTGTAAAGCAATTTCCCTTCTTCGTGCAGTGTGTTATGGCACTGAGGACAATCGGGCCCTTTAGCATTCCTGGGGAGGTATGAGATGAAGGATTACTGTGAAAGATCTCTTTGTTGTTTTAGCTGAAGCCAGACTTGAACAGTGAGACAGCGGTCATCCTAGGTCATGGGAATGTGGCATTGGACATTGCACGGATTCTCCTATCGCCTCTTGAGATTCTTCGGGTAAGTTGTGAACGAGTCCCGGAGTGTTACATGATGGTGGGGAGCTAAACAGTGAGGTTTACTATCGACCTGCCAGAAAATAACCTTTCAGGGAATGAAGGGTTGTGGTTCAAAGACCCATCTGACTGCAGCCATCCTGGAGTCTTGCATTTCAGGTGACCACTTGTCTGTTTTATTGAAGGGGAGGGGAGTACACCTTGCATCTCCTGCTGTAGGAGTGGGATTGCTGCATGTGAATCATTCTTCCAAAATCCTCTAGGACCATGATGGTGAATCTATGGCACACGTGCCACAGGCGGCACGCATAGCCCTCTCTGCGAGCACACCAGCCATTGCCCCAGCCCAGCTTCACTGGGCATGTGTGTGTGCGCACCTCCTGCCGGCCATCTGGTCTTTAGGTCTCTGCCGTGCATGCGCGGGATGCACGGATGCATCCAGGGGACACATGCATGCATGTGTGGGGTGTATGCCCCCCCCCATTCCTCATTTTGGGCCTGGAAGGCCTCTTGCGCCAACCTGGAAGACAAAATGAGGCATGGGGGCACCACATGAGGGCTCCCCCCTGCATCCTGTTTTGGGCTTGGAAGGCCTTCTGCACCAACCTGGAAGCCAAAATGGGGTGGGGAGTGCTGCATGAGGCCCCTCTGTGCCTGGAAGGCCTTCTGCACCAACCTGGAAGCCAAAAATGGGCGAGGGGAAGATTCCACGTGCATGCGTTGGGGCAGGCGCGTATTGCATTATGGGTGTGGGCTTTCAGCTCGTGACGACAAAAAGGTTAGCCATTACTACTCTAGAAGAAGACTTGCGGTTTGCTTCTTACTCTACTGCCTTCCCTTCTTTAGGGGCATGACTCTCTCCTCTTTCCCTGCTTTTCCTCGGCCTCTCTGCTTTCTTTGCCTTAAGGTGGTGGAGCAATTTTTGTTTCTCTTTTTCCCTCTGATGCTAGAATTCTTGAGAGTAGTGAACAGTTTCTGGCTCTAGGAAACACCACCATGAACTTCCAAGTTTCTTATACCTTCTTCAAGTAAAAGGGGGCAAAACTGCAAACCTAAGGCCAGATTGATCCTCCACCTTTGCCTGTTTCTCCCCAGACCTGAGGGTGCTTTCTCTTAGACTTTGCAGGCAGAAAATACAATGAAGTGATTCCCTCAAAGTTTTAGATATATCTTTTTACTGAGACTTTAAAATGTTGGTTTTAAGCCTGCTTTATGTACATTGCTAGCTGCTTGAATTCTTTTTAAAACAGGAAAATGAGATTAAAATATTGGTAATAAATGCATGGTGTTCAATGTACAGTTATTTGCAGGTGTTAATGCCTTTTTTCCCATATTAATAACTAATACCCATCAGTATTGCATCTCCCCCTTCCTGCTCTCTCCTTTTCACCAGTTTCCCTTTCCATCACAGTGTTGATGTGTTGTCAACAGATGCAGCATTGTGAAAAATTGCTCGAAAAAATGCATGCTGTCGTTCCATTACTGTGGCATTAACCTGAGAGAAGGTCTTTGCGTTGAGTGCAATTCATTTGAGCAGATGGCTGTTCGTTCCATGTTGCCTGCCCTAATCTACGTTCCTCCCTCCCTCTAGAAAACTGACATCACTGAAGAGTCCTTCTCTGCCTTGGCCAGCAGTAAAGTCAGACGGGTGTATCTTATTGGCAGAAGGGGTCCCCTCCAGGTGGCTTTCACCATAAAGGTAAAAGAAAGAAGGAGGAAGGGTAGTTCACTAACAGGTCTTGACGTCCAGTAAGGTTGTTCATTCTACAAAGACCAGTTCACACTAAGACAGAAATTTGTAAGAAGGGGCCACTGAAAGCCCACCCAACTTCAAAGTGTTATCCTGAAGCCCCCCGTAAAACTGCTGCTGACTGATACCGTAATTGACAATACAAACATTGTGAAATACTTAGGGAAATAAGCACATGCATCAGAGGTGAAATGCTTCTGGTTTGCACCGGTTCGCCTGAACTGGTAGTAAAAAAATACTAAAAAAAAGTTTTTGAAAAAGTTCCAACGATCGCACATCACACATTGCCGATCTTCGGAACTTTTTTTTTTTTTTAACTTTGTAAGCATTTTTTTTACTACAGGTTCTCCAGAAACGCAGGGTGGTGGTGGTCTGTTTTTGCTCCTAGCACGCTTCCCAAAAATGGGGGGTGAGGGGTGTTGAGAAAGAGGAGAGGAAAGGAAAGGAAAGGAAAGGGAGGGAAAGGGAGGGAAAAAGGAGAGGAAGGAAGGACTACAAACCTGACACTAGATGCAGCTTCAGAGGATAATCCAGGGCTGGAAGGGACCTGGAGGACATCTAGTCCAAACCTGCTCCAGTAGGACATTGTTAAAGTAAGTTTCTGTCTTTTGTTCCCCCAGTTACATGACTACATAACCACGTCCACATAGTCACATTACCCTACCAAGCCACACCCACCAAACCGGTAGTAAAAAAATTAGATTTCACCACTGACATGCATGTATATCAGCCCAACAAGATAGACCAAACTAAGAAATACATACAGTTCAGATCTACATTTATTGTATAGTGATAGATTCTGCAAGTCTGAATGTGTTCCCCCACGACCACTTTATTTTTGTGTGCACTAGGAAGAGGTTTTTTCATATTACTTTCTTACTGAGCTCAAGATCCTCTTATCTAACTGTTGCACTGATAGCAGCTCTTCCTCCTGTTTGTTCGAGGTCCTTCCCTATACCTTCTGCAATATATAACTATTAATTATTTTCACTTAATTGTTTTTTAAAAAAATATTTATTAAATTTATATGCCACCCAACTCCCTGCCTAAAGCTACTCTCTTTGGTTCTGTTTCCTCTCTCTTTGGGGAGGTGTAGCAGCGTACCAGTCAAGGGACAAAAGAAGCATCTACATCGTGGCCCCTGTTAAGATCAGTCATTGACTACGCTTTGGGAATTGAAGTAGCCCCATCATATTGGATGCTCAAGCAGGAAGTGAATGTACTGCTCAGAATCTAATGAATTTAGTTCATGGTTCTGAAGGAGGAAAGGATGCCCAAGATTCACCTCATACTTGTTGATGTGGTAGGAGTGCACTGTTCTTCTCAGGGTTGCTCATGGCATCTATGCAGGGGCAGGTTCTGGATTCTTCTACTGTTGGTTCGTTCAGGGATGTGCTTCTGGCTCGTGCATGCTTTATGCTGGCCTAGTAAAAAAACAGTAGTAAAAAAACAAGATGGCGGCACCTACAGTGCCACCAATAGAACCAGTTGGGGTTCATGGGTGGCCGAGTTACTACCTACTTGGCCGAACCGGGCCAAACCAGTAGGAACCCACTTCTGCATCTGTGCATCAGCTCACCTGATTGAAATGGTATGATGGAGGCCTACTATGTGTATCATCTTACTTTGTTTTTAAATATCTTATTTTGCTTTTAAAGTTCTGGTTGTAGCTGCAAGGGTTAAGCAGAGTTAGGAAACAATCTGGGTGGGTCTTCTGAGCTTTAAACCATTGGCTGTTGTTTCAGGATTCAATCTGTGTGTATTGGGTGTATTCCAACAATAATGTTGCAGGATCCAATCTGGGGCACGTATACTCACCTTCGTTCACCAGAATTAGGAAAACTTTAGATCCAGGCATGCTATAATAAGGAGATTTTTCTTTTATTCTCAATTATCCCTGCCCAGGTGACATTATCTAGCCAGGTTTGGCTGGTTTTGGAAAACTAAACCTATCACCCTCTCTGTGTCAATGTCACTCTCCATGCATCACCTACCCTTTTGCCTTGTGTTTCTGTCTCTGAAACCTTCAGGAGCTGCGGGAAATGATCAACCTACCCAGTGTTAGACCTTTCCTGGATCCTGCAGATTTCAGAGATCTTGGGGATGCCATTAAAGGTGAGGATCAGCTAAATATCTGTTGATAAAAGTAGCATAAACTAACAGACGAATACCTGGTGTCAGCTAAATCTTCAGTCCTTGCTTAACAACAGTGGAACGATCTCCCCGCTGAGATCCGTACCCTCACCACCGTCCAGACCTTCCGCGCAGCCCTCAAGATCTGGCTC